ATATATTCATTTGAAGTTTTTAAAATTTATCTTTTAATTTTTACATTTTAATATTTAACAGCTACGATTTTCTAAAACTGACAAACTCCACTGGATGTGTACAAAACTCCCACAGAAATGTAATTTAGTACTGTGATTGGCTTGTTGCTTTTCTCAGCGATTTTCTCTTATTACAACACTGGCACTGACAGTGTAAATAGAGCAGGAATAACATCTCAGTAAGAACAGTATGAAGTGATTTGAATGCAGGTTTGGCCCAACTACCAAACATGAGGAGACTCTGTAATGATGTTTGCTAAAATATATGCAATGTGTATAAGTGACCTGGAGAGATATGTGTTTTTCTCAAAAAAGTGGAGTTTTATTTTAATTGGTGGCTATGGGGACAAGAGTTCATCAATTGCATGGAGGTCATTGATCTTTAGGCAAGCTTTATTCTTCTCATGCTCTGTTTAATCATATAGCTTAAAGAGAATATTTCCAGAAAGAAAAACGAAGACAGACATGAAAAAAAGATGCAAATAAGAACTGTTTTATCTCTGACTTTCTTCATCTGCATACTTGTATTTGGCCAGTGAATCATAAAGTAGTAAATCCAAAAGGTCTTTAAAATAGCCAGGCAACCAGAATTTCAGAAAGATGTTGACCTTCAAATGAACATGTACCAACTTGTAGCCAAATCTTCAATTCTCAATAGGTTCAACCACCCTCAGTAGATTTTTATATGAAATGTAATATTTGTAAATTTCTTTTATCATTTTTTTGGTTAGTTTTAAATGGATCATTTTAAATATCTCCTATTTTGAAAACTTATTTTTAATACCCTACTTGAAAATTTATTTCACAAAACAATTAAAACCAATCCTCCAAATTCAGGACAATAATAATAATGCTGCTAGAATAGGGACTTGTGGATTTAGAAAAAGCTTTTGTTTTTGTTTTGGGGGGGAAAGTACAGAATTAAGCAGGGTTTTTGTTTTTCAGTTTCTAACATTGAAGATTTCAGCTGTGTTGTACAAACAAGCATGTATAATCAGATATGTACAGTTTTCTCTCCTTTCTCTCAATTTTGTGTTAAATTAATAAATTTAATTTGTGGAATATGAAAAAAGCGTGCTTTATTTTATTTGTACATGTAACTATTGTAATTATAATTATATGTCTTTTGTTTTTTGGAAGTTTCTGTAAAAGAAAAAAAAATAGACACTTTGGAGAAAAAAATTAATCATTTAAAACAAAAGAAGAATTCAATAAATAATTCAAACATTCTACTATGTGCTCTAGCAAATGGCACTTCATATGGACAAACATTGGTGTATAATTGAAGTTGTCTTATTGGTTTTATTGTACTTCAGCAAAATAACTGCTTAGGATTTTTAATGTATATAAATTGTAATGTTAGGGGAATCTAGCAGGACACATGCTTTGCAAATAAAGTAAAGTTTATTAACTTAAATAGCTTCGCAGCAGCAAAATAACACAACAGTCCATCTCTTCACTGACCAGCTGGCAAACTCAGACAGTGACTCTTCAGTACAACACAAAAGACCAGTCTCACCGACCTGAAGATCTCTGAGCTGCAATCGCAGTTAAGAGTCCCAGACTTCCAGGGTAACTTTCCCAGTCTACAGATGTCCAGCAAGATTACTGATATTCAAACTCACAGCAGTACACAAATCCCCACTCTCCAACCTCCTCCACACTACTCCTCACCAGCTAGCTACCACCTCCTGTCTTTTTAAACACACGCTTCCTCCAGCAGGTGTGTTAACCCCGTCTTGTCCCTTAAAGGGACCACAGCCCAAACAGAGGGGAAATATAGAGTCCTTCCAGGACCCAGCCCCGGCGTCCTGTACAAAATGCAGTCACTAAACTCTCATACTCCAATGCCTGGTGATCCTGCCATGATGATCTTGGTATAGGGTTACAATGCTCTATCACTGTTTCACAATTGATTTCCTACATTGTCACCGTGTTGCATGTGCTTCCAATGGAGACTACAAGTGGCCATTTCAACAAGCATTAATTGAAGGGGTCCTGGTGCCGAAGCTAGCCGAAGGATCGGCCGAAGCTATGGCCAGATCCTTCGGCAGCTTTGTGAATAGACCCCATAGTCAACCAAATTCCATGCAGCCATCGCTGGAGAGCATTTGCCATGAGCAGGGTAATATCAGCTAAGGTTATTTCGTCATAAGCAATTTTTATTCAAAGCAGACACTCAATTTAGCTAATTGATCTCCTTAAGCAAAA